TTTTATTCGAATTTTATCACATAAAGATTAAAAACAGATTTAATATTTGCAACTTAAAATATCAGTAATTAATAGAAATTCCTTTTCAGGTGGACAAAAATCGAAGATCACTACGGAATCATTGAAACATTGGAAGTGCTTACAAAGGCTTGGAAAATATTTGAGAATATCAGATAAATAAGCGTAGTAAGAAAGAGACCAACATTTTGTAGCAACCAACAACTCATATTTTTCGAGCAATAGCAAAACTGACGAATTGCAAGAAGCAAGCAGGTATGTTTTTTACCGGCATCCTCGAATTTCAGAAATTAAGCACAAAAAAACTTTGGAGAAGGCAGAAACTAAAAAAATTGCTTAATGCATTTCCGAAATAAATTTTTAGTCTTTAGGAAAACATTTTTATTGGTATTTTTTTCTTTTTTTTACAGTCAAAGGAACTTTCACTGTAAATAAACGAGCTCGATTGGAGCAGACTTGTGAAAAGTTTTCGTTTACATTCAAAATCGTAAAAGAGTGTTTAATAATATCTAAGGGCACGTAAATAACAAACAGACAGACAAGTAGGCCTCACTTTGGTCTAAAATTAATAATAAATAATCAGAAGAGATTTACAGCGTTCTAACTTTAATCATTTTATTTACTGCCAAAACCAATAAGTGTCTGAAGAAATGAACAAAAGTTCAAGTCTGCCCTTTTGTCAGTTATTTTATCGGTTTTTCGGAATACTGAATAATTATTGATATAATATGACCAATTAGACCATTACTGGCTTATGTATTTTTCCGTTATCTCTACTGGAAAACTGATTAGAGCGATAAGGGATGATAAGGAAGAAGTTAAGCAGATTTTCATTCATCATAAATCACTTGTACATACAAATAGCAATCAGTCATGAAAATACATAACTATGTGGAGTAAATGGAAGATGTGAGGCGTGATCGGAGAGAAAGTAATAAAAGGCCAATGGAATCAGTAGGATAGATATGAATATGCAAAAAAATTTAAATATTGTTATAAACAAGTAGAGAAGGGACCTGTCCGTAAGCCTGTCAGTTAAAGTTAAACAACGTGAAATGACGGAAAGACCGATTGTAAACATACGCTTATGTCTTCTTAGATAAATAAGAATGAATCACACTTTCAGTCTGATAACATACATCTGGCTATGGACAATTTAGATAGCAAACAAAGAAATATCAAGCATCGATAGTGCATTCATTACATAGATTGACAGCATACACACATACACGCACATGGTGTGCGTGTATGTGTGTGTCCCTGTCTGTGTTTGCTGGACTCTGCAGACAAGCTTGAGACCTACAGGCTTGGCCATAAAGTTCTGCAGGGGTGAGAAATAATAAGATGGCCAACTATAATAGAGATGTAGTTATGAGAGAAAGAAGCATACTTCGTGACAAAAAAATGAATGAAAACAAGATACGAACTATGCAGGAGGAAGTAGGAAATAAAGGAGCAGACATACTGAGACCTAATTTTCTCTCCAGGCTCCTACCTATAACCTAAGATAAAAGTAATGAAATGTTTGGCTGCTTTCACGATTCCGATAAACTAATTTCAAATTTTTTTGGAATGAGAAATAGTTTTAATGAGAATTTTTGACACTTTTTCGATCTAAAAAAACTTTCCATTTATTTTTTTCATTCCCTAAAATTAAATTATGAGAGTTCCATTTTGGATAATAGTTCCAATAATTGAAACTGCAATTACGATTATCCTTTTTTCAAATGTTCGTCATAACGAATAAAAGGGATAATCATACGTGTTGTTTTTCTGCATAAAATTAATGATGGAATCAGGATTTTGGGTTGCGTTATCGGCAAGATCAGCTATTGTTTGTTCATTTACTAAACTATGTCTGATAAGAGTGCGGGAAATCTTGGATCCGAAATGATAAATTGCATTTCAGGATCATCTTTACTTCATGCTTCATGCAACTACTCGGACTAGGGCAGAAGCATTCCTTAGCTAGCACCTGAGCTAAACTCTCAAGCACTCAGATTTGTCTATATCCCAATTTATCTTTCTCTAGCTAAAATGAATATTTTATCATAAAGCGATGAAATTTTGGGAGAAATCTTTCACTCTGCCATAATTATGAATGTTCTGATCATTCATTGCCCATTCACATTGATTTAATAAAGCAAAGGAAAAAAAAAAATGGCAGTAATAATCTTCAGAGAAGACCATATCTGTTTTCAAGAAAATTGCTAAAAAAGAAAAAATGAAATTCAATTCACCCGTTGATTTATTGCAGTTTTTCCTTTTAATAATTCTATATTAAAAATTCTCAAAAGTTTAAATGCAAGATAAGTAATGGGAAGGGATGGCTGTCAGCAATAATCCATTCTTCAGTCATCTTCAACACTTCGTCACTGATAAATTATCTGATAATAATGAAAAAATCGTCACGAATATGTTCATCCATCACTAGTTTTAAGTTGTCAGGCATTTTCAAAAATTGAAATGTCCTAGTCAATGATGACAGATGTCATTTTGACGCTTAGTTTTAATAATCCACCAATTGTTGAGCAGATTTATTGTTTTATCTCGGATTTCAAGCATGCAACATCTGATCAGGCCCGTGTCATTTCATTCCTTTCCTCTTCACTTCTCTAATTAGCATATTTCCTAATTTATGCAAGAAAATGGTTCATAACTTCAACATCATTTTACATTTTCTCATATATGCCTGTCTCTACACATACAGAATTGAGAAAATTGATTTTTAGGTGTTTTTTATGAGCAACAAGCGCATCTTCAAATTCATTTTGAGTGAATTCGTCACAATCGATTTCAAAGCTTAAAATTTGCAAAAATTTTTTCACAATTATGTCAGAAATTTGAAGCAAATTATTGCAGCAATCTTCACTGTTTACTTTGCTTTTTGGGGGTGCGAAATGTCACCCTCCCATCACCGTCACTTTCTTTCACTATCCCGCAGTTGTAGAATTTTTTCCACTTCCAAAAATGTTTTTCTACTTTTGTTCAAAAATGGACACATTGAATTTGATTGCGTTGTAATCGAAATGATTATTTATTTAAGCTATATAAATGTACCTATAAATATATCATTCGTTGTTGACGTCAAGACACGAATAATGCTTCTGACTTTAGTCTCAGTTGTTTATGCCACTTCCTTTTGTATATTTGTCAAGTTAAAGTTAGCATCTTGTAATAATACTTGACATTTTTTCTTCTGTAGTTTTTTAAATTTCAAATATGGATATTACACGCTAAATGCTGATGGGAATTTTCTATTAAGTTAAATTTTGACATCAATTTACGTTTATCTTTTTCAGTTTTTTCTTGTGTTCACATCACACACACAGCGAATATATTCTCTTAATATGTATGTATTCAGGAGAATCCCTGATAAATATCTCTGCATGACGATGCCTCAGTACAGTTTTGAATGCGGTAGATTCCTTCCAAACTTCACATCAGAAATTATTTAAAATCATTATTGCATGTCTATAGTTTCGATGTATACTTTTGCAAAATTGATCGTTGTAACCTTTTAAACTTTAATGGATTGAAATTCCTGACCGATGAGTCATCATCACAGACGATATGCACATCTCTGGCTCATTCCTCCATTTAATACCTTCCATCCGAACTGATAAATCAAAAGACAAGCAAATAAAGGACGTATAGACAAACATATCATACCGATATTGATTGTCACTCGGAAAGGAGGATTGGCTGGTGAAGTCCACATTTTTCGGGTTCTGATGCGGTGGAAAACATTCGAAGAATTGCTTGCGGTTGAGTTTGAAAGTTTGAAGGTATGAGTTATGAAAGTGAGAAACGAGGGAAAGAGAATGGGAAAGATCTTACGTACTCTTGAAGCTTTGATTCCGTGGACTCGAACTACTACAAATATTATTACTGTCGATATATACCAGAAAAGACAAATAAATGTAAACGTGATATTGAATGAAAAGAATGAATTGCAGATTTGATCGAAAGTTCCGGAAACTCTTTCCATTAACAATCAATTCCTGATCCTGAACATTCACTGACTCCATTAGGTTTATTCAGCAGAGCTTAACGGTCACATATTTATTCGTCATTGCACGATAAAAAATGAATAATGAATTGGATTTTAATCACTTCTCTTCCTTTGCTTATTTTCCTTGATAAGCCACGTCTTATCCCGAGATTTCCCAAATTTTTGAACGCAGTACAGATACTTAGTTATTAAAGCAATTCATTGCTCCTTGGGATAATACATACTGAGAAAAATACAGTTTTGGAGCATTTTGTTAGATTTTTAACTTTAAATTTTATTCAGTAAAAGTCAGTGCTATGAAATAATTGCTCATTGCTTCGGTTCAGTAAACAGGATCCATCTATCTTTACATCGATAATCGAATGCAATATGCGACGAGCTTTTAGTAGTAGTATTGGTGATTATTCAGGTACACTGCTGCCGGTGTTATCCCTGGTACTGCTGACCAGGTTGTACCCTTGAATTT